GCGGGGCACTTCTGCATGGCAGGAAGCAGAGTCCACCAACCTGTCAGCCACGTAGGCCGAGGTAAGCTGGTTTTCCCACCTGCACAAAAAGTGATCAAAATGTACAGTGAACGGTTAATTTTTTTAAAAAATTACTATAGTAAAAAACACATTGCTGTCAATCTCCCTCAAAACACTCTCGTTCTCTTTAAACACATTTATCTGATGGCTCTTGCCACTTTCTGAAGCACTTCTGGCAATTCTCTTTCAGGAGATAGGATCAAAAACAATTGTTGCCAAGCGCCATCCCACAGAAAGGCAAGCTCATTAAGAACATTATGTACCCGCCTTACTCACTGGATCGGGTACCCTGAAACTCCCACCTCTTCCCCAAAGTCAGAATGAGCATGAAGGGTAAACGTTTTAGATCGATTCAGGACATCAAGGCAGCCATAACAGCACAACCGAAGACACTCACCCCAAAGGACTTCCAGAACTGCTTTGGACAGTGGCAAGAACAGTGGGAAAAGTGCATGCAAATCAAGGAGAAATATTTTTGAGTGAGGTTCATGGCAATCTGACTTTTACAGCAATGTTTTTTTTTAAAAAAATTAAAGATTTTTTTATTAGCACACAGCTGCAATGCACAACACATATACTAATCACAGGGACTTGGTATATGTTTATTTGACATCTTAGCCCTAGTTTCCCCTCTTCCCTCCCTCTCCATCCTTAGATCTCCTCCCCACCTGCAAAAGGTCTAAAACCCTTCACCGTTTCTTCTGATCTTGCCTCGTAGACTGGAGGCATCAGACCCACCCTCATCAGCACACTAAGGGTAACAGTATGCGAGTGTGTGGCCAGCTTGCTGGCACCAGCTCACAGTGGTATACACTGGAGAAAACAATGTCAGGTGCTTTAGCCAAAGATGGGGAGAAGAACTACCAAGAGGGACCATGCCAACGGGGGATTGGTGGCAGTGAGAGAGGTCAAGCTCTGCATACAGACTTAGCTCTTTGACTTTTGGATTATGTGAAAGGGTTACAGGCGTGGCCAACAGAAGACACACTTCAAATTTTGAAAGGGCTGGTGATGTGCATCCAATCCTCTTTCTGGACCCTGGTCAGAGCCATGATCTGCAGCTCAGTCCACCCTATAACCACGGGGTGAACCGGCCACACTGCATGCGTGCTAGATTGCTAAGTGACGTTTCTGTAGGTTGTTATGGTCAGTGCAGCTTTTGGTTTTTGGTACTTTCGACTTATAACTCATTTAAAAGATCAGAACCTCATCATAAATCGAGGAGCATCCATACAAGGGCAATGGAGGTTTAGGGCAAGAGCAAGGTGTGGGCCAGAGGCTGGGAAAGTACTGAGCAGGAACATCAGGGGTAAGGGGGATTCACACTGAAGCAGTGTGACAGGGTTCTTGCTGAGGGCTGCGCAGGGGACAACACACCCAGGTGAGGGAGGCAGAGTTTGACAGATAGCAAGGGTGGGGCTTTTACTTAAACTGATCCCCCAGGACCCTCACCTAAAAGGCCAGAGGGCAGAGCCCAAGGTCAGGGCCTGGCCAGCAAGTGCCCAGAGGAGCCCAATTCAGCCGGGGTCAAAGGAGTCTTTGTCACATCTGAGTGCTGGCAATTATGATTAACCACACTCAGTTGGTTAACTGTAATAATTAATAATGTATCCTAATAGCTGGTTTGAGGAAAGGCTGCCCCAAACTCTGCTTTCTCCTCTACCCTCGAAGGCGCTGACCTTGGGCTGGGCTGGTCCAACAGATGGCAGAACCCGATGTCCCCCCAGATGGCTTCGGTTGCTGGCTTTTGGCCAGTCTGGCTTGCCTCCTTTCTGGGCACAAGCAGCATCTCCTCCATGGGAGCAACCAGAAGCCCCTCACCTCCTCCAAGCCCTCCGTACCCTGGCCCTGGCCTCAAGGACTCCCTAAACTCAGCTCGCCGTGTCTTCTGCCCTGGCAGCTCAGATGCCTGCCTCTTTCCGCAACACCCTTAAAGTTCACCTCCTCCATGTGGCCCGCCTACCCGTGTTCATCTTCCCCCCAGTGTGAATACTAAATACCTCCTCTCCACCATTTCCCACTTTGCTCTTATTACATTATCTGGCTGCTATGTTTTCTGCAGACTTTTAAAAAGCCTTCCTTCTCCCGACTGGTCGACTGGTCGTGCCCACAGCATGATCCTGTCAAACATGTGTGAACTTGGAAGGCAGCTGGAGGTAGTTTAATCCCAGCTCCATAACTGACCAGCTGTGTGACCTTGGGGAAGTCAATTAACCTCCCTGAGCCCTGGATTGTTTATCTACCAAAATTATGAAGCCAATCTTATTTACTTTAGCAGTGGGCTCCTCCCTGGGGTGCGGGGTGGGGGGGCCTGGGTTTTTTCAATGGGGTGAAAACTTTGATAAGCCCTTTGAGGTAGAGGGGAAAGTCCCCACGTTTTACTCCACGTGGGGCTGCTGCAGAACTGGAGGTGGCACCCGGGGCTGGCAACGGATGGTTGTTTTGGAACTAGAGTAAGAAAGCCGAGTGGAAGGCTGGGTGCTCAGGGGTGACAGAAGTGACTGATACTGGGTGAAGGGACAGAGAAGGAGGAGAGAGAAAGCTGGAGACAGGAGACAGGAGCTGGGACTCCGCAGCCCTTCAGCTCGCAATGGCCTGAGGGCCTCTGCACCCACTCCCTACTGTGCAATCTCTCCCAAGGCCGGGGCCAGCTTGGGGAAAGGGGTCACCAGAGCAGGGATCTCTGGCCCTCTGGGCCCTTCCCAGAATGTTTTCAGCTGCATAAAATAAAATTCAGACAATTCTAGAGGAAACCAGTGACAGGGAATATGGTGCAAATGTGTTGTGCTGTGGTGTTAACGTATGATATGATGTGATTCCGGGGTCTTAATAAACATTACACTTCTGAAGTCAGAACGTCTGCGAAAGTGGCAGGGTCCTATGAGAAGCAAGGACTCCGCTACAGGCTGTCACAGCCCATAGTCTGTTGAAGAAATGCTAAGTGACATTTACAAGTTAGTGAAATAAAAGGCTAATTTCTCCCCTACCCAAGTCTACAGACACTCTCAGCATTGTGGGATTCCAACCTTGATCCCATGTCTCCTTCCTAGTGCCTAAGCCCTGAGGAATCTCACTTCTTCTGTGGTGGCCTGCACCTCCCTGTCCCGCTGTTACTCCACTGGGGCCTTATGGCTTTTCGCCCTGATGGGCACAGCAGCCTCTCTCTCTAAATATGTCATCCCATCTGTGTTCTGCCCTGAACTCAAAGAGATCATTCTAAAATGCAGACCTAACCATGTCACCCCTCACTCTGAATTCCTCAGTGGCTCCTGATTGTCTGCATGGTAAAATCTGAAAACCTTTGCAAAAATATTTTTTTTAAAAAAATCTAAACCCTCCCCCAGTTCTCCTGGTTCAGTTCTCAGTAGCTCTCTTCTCCCTATTCTCTGCCTTCCCGCCATTCTGAATACACGAAGTTTCCAGAATCTGCCTCCGCATGAGGGCTTTGGCCATGCTGTTCCATCCACCGGTATGGCCTTACCCTCAAGCTGTCCACTAAGCAAACTCTTACTGATTTCCAAGTTTCTCCTCAAATGTTGCTTTCTTTGTGATCCACCTCCTCCATCTCCACTGCCTGGAGAAATATGGGTGACCTCCTGCAGAGTCCCATACACTTGGGCACAGATGTCAGCAAGCCACGTTATAATCATTGGTCGAGTCTGTCTCTCCAGAGGATGACAAACTTCAGGAGGGAAAGAGTGAGTCTTTTTCTTCAACTCCCCAAACTTAGACAGTGACTGGTGCCCAGGAGGCCTTCGATTGGTGTTGATGGAGAAAACGAATAAAGGATGAAAAAAAAAAAAACCCAACCCATTCTCAGTTCTGAACAGCTAGGAATAGAGTGGGGGTGGGTCAGACCAACACTGTGTCATGACAGTCCTATTTTTCTTAAGTTAGAGTCCTGTGTGTTAAGGACAAGTCACACATGTTTTGATCTATGTAATGGGCCGTAACTTCTTGGATCCAGTTCTCCATTCTCCAGGGGACCTCTCTGTTAACACATCTACGGGGTGAGTATCTCCTCTACCAAGAGGCTCTTCACCTCACTTCCATTCAGTAGAGTTAGTTCTTCCAGCTTGTGAAGACTGGGATTGCTAGATTTACAGAAATTTGATTTACATGTGGCTTTTCAGGAAGAGATGTCTTACAGAGCCAAGTCATCGCTTTCTCTGCCCAGCCCTCCTCAACGTACAGTTTTTAGGCATTTTCTAATCCCTTCCGGCACCCTCTCTGCTTAACTCCTTTCCACCTGGATCTGTTGACACCCCGCTGGGCATAGGAACACCAAACCCAACGGCCTTTCCTGGGCATCCTCTTGTCTCCACTGCTCTGAGCTGTACAAAGCAGCTTTGCCCAGTGTCTCTGCCCACCCAATACTGGTGCTCAAGTGTCTAGATGAAATCAGTCACTCTGGGTCCTACTCAGCATCTTTGTGTAGTTTACAATGGCAAAGAGGACCAAGCAGAGGACTGGTGTCCCAAACACACTTCTCTTTTCTAGACGGTGTCGAGCACAGGGCCTCAGCATGCTGGGCAAGTGCTCTGCCACTGATCTACACCCTCATCGGGAAGGAAGGACTCCTCTTTTTCAGCCCCATCAACGCCATCAGCACCCATCCCTTTTGTAGAACCATCCCCTCTCCCTTGTGCCTCGAATCCATCCATCTCTGAACTGAACGTATCACACGAGTCCTCCCCCTGACTCCCACACATGGGAAGTCCCACAGGGCTGGGACTGCCTACTCATGCTCATTTCTATGGCCCTAGGACTCAACACACAGCCTGGTGTGAAAGAGACAGCCAGGAGGTATGTGTCAAGGTGGGCTGCTACCACCTTTACAGATGGCAGACTTGGGGCTCAGAGAAAGAAGGCTCCACACCATCAGGCTGTACCCCGGGTGGCTCTGAGTCCCATGCCCTGGGGCTGTGCCACAGCCTTACCTGACAGCACCGTGAAGACAGCCGCAAAAGCGTTGAGCTTGAGCCCGTCGATGACGCTGCTGGAGTGGAAGAGCTCGAGACACATGAGGCTGAAGCCCACCACCAGCAGGAGGATGTAGAGCACCTCAGAGACCACCGACAGCCAGAGCACCCCTGCAACAGAGGCAGAAAGGCCCAGAGTAAGGCCCTCCTGGGCTTCCCCCTGTGCCCACCCACACCCCATGCCCACTGGGGGCCACTAGTGCTTGCAGAATATCCCTGGCTGCTGGATGGCCACCCAGCCAAGGCACCCTAACTGGGAACTGGTTGAGAACCCAAGTCAGGGTGTGACATTCTTTGGGAAACCATTACTGGGCATCCTGTGACTGGTAAATAGTCAGATAGAAAGAAGACTCACCCACAGCTTCGTGGCCATGAGGGCACTGCAATTGCTAAGCAGAGCCACAGAGAAAGGACCTCATTGGACCACGAGGCTCCAGCTCCAGGAGCCATCATATTTCAGACTTTGAGATGAATTTCCCTATTGTTGACTCAGTACTTGTGAGGTTCTCTGTTACCTGCATCCCAACTCATACACACATCATGCTTGCCCTCTAGGGAGGCCCACACTTCCATCTACCCTGCATCCTATTCTCTTGTTTTCTAGAAATGACTTTTGCTATTCTGCAGGCTTCAACACTGTGGTTCTCCCAAGGAGCTGCCATGTTCTGGTGGGCCCCTGTCCTCCTGGGTGCAGCTGGTTGGCCCAGTGCGATCACCTGACCTAGAACTGACCAATCAAAGCCCTTCTCTGGGAATCTGAGCAGATAGCCATTGAAGTACATCAGGTGAAACGGGCTCGGATGAGTCCAAGGATTCTGATCATGAAAGCTCCTAGCTCCAGCTGTTCCTGAGAGTCAGCTGCATTCCCAGCCTTTCCGAGGTTTTCATCTTTAGACATTTTCTTCCCTAAGAGAGCACAACTCTCTTTTTCTTCATATCATTTGCTACTTAGTGGGCATTTGCTCCCCATCCCCACTATCCCCCCTTCTTCCTAAATGCTTTTTACTTGGAGAGTATCCTTTCTACTGGTCTCTCTGGGCCAGGTGCTGGTGTCCCATGTCCTGACTCCGTATTTGGGCATATGATCATTTTTAGCCAATGAGAGCTCCATGTCCCTCAAACTCTAGTCACTGACTCAGGAATGAAATCCTTTATGCCTCAGTTTCCTCATCTATAAAATGGGAATAATAATTACACCTATCTCATGATTTTGTTGCACCTGAGGATTCATTTGCACAGCCATGTAGAGAGTTTATGATTAGCACACAGTGAAGGTTCAACCCATACATGCAGGAGGCGCACTGTAGGGCTATGTCCAGCAGTGACTGGAAGTGGAGCCACTTCCTGTGGTCTCCCGATAAGGGAAAAGTTAGAAACGGAGGCAAAAGGGAGAAATGAAATTTGGGGTACACGTAAGACTTCTGAGAAAAAAGGTGGCAAACAGAAGAAGGTGAAATTAGAAACACATCCCCTGCCTGACCTTCCAGCCACACTGGCCATGTGGCTGAAGCAAGGCCCCGATGAACTGGGTCAAAGATGATCCCCTGACCCAAGACAGCACAGTGAGCATTCGCTAAGGGATTTCACAGGAACCACTGTGAAAGCCCGGCTTTCAGGCAGGTTTGAGGCCGGAAGGACAAAAACTGATTACGTCATCGGAAGCAAGAGCCTCTCCAAGCGTGCGGCCAAGGATGTCAGTCCAAGAGACTGAGGAAGATTGTAACCTGATCGCACTGTGTGAGCGCTGGGCCTAGCTAGGGCTAACGCAGCCAGGCCTTTGTTCTTTTCGTCCTTCAAACCAATTAATCTCTGTCTTTGCTTAAACCAGTTTGAGGGAGGTTTTCTATCACAGGAGTCCTTTTCAGCTTTTCTGTTCTCTGGAGCATCAAACATGTCCTTTCCTACATCTGCTTTTGCATAAGGAGTCACTCCACCTGGAATGCCCAATAAATACTATTTACCAAATTGTTAGTCAGCTTTATTTCTCTGAGACAAAATGCCTGAGACTCACAGTTTAAAGGAGGGAAGGTTGATTTTGGCTCACAGTTTGGTAAGTTCCCATCCATGACCCCTTGGCCCTATCACTCTGGATCTGAGACCAGGCTGAACATCACAATGGGGTGTACAGTGGAGCAGCCTCTCACCTCATAATAAGGCAGAGAAAGAGAAGGGCCGCAGATCCCAGGATTCCTTTAAAAGGCATAACCCCAGGGATCTACTTCCTGCAGCTCCTCCCCTCTCCTCTCTCTCCTCTTCTTCCTTTCCTCTCCCCTCCTCCTCTCTTCTCTTCTCCTCTCCCCCCATCTCTCTCCCCCCTCCCTCTCTTCCCCTCCCATCCCTTCCTGTCTCCTTTCCCCTCCCTCCATTCCCTCTCTCCAACACAAATATTCCATCTCCTGGGCAATTCCTTGGATTTCTGTAAGCAAATAGTACACACTTGACAGCTTGGATGTTGTTAAAACACCCCCTGGCGCCACACCTTCATGGCTTCCAAGGCCCTCGGCTGGCCCAAGGACACACAAAGCTGCAGGGAGGGAATTCAGGGAGGGCTGAGCCATGGGAGGGGATGGTCACCCAGGAACAGCCCCTGCCCCCACTGGCTTTCTCCACTTTGGAGCTGCTGAGGCTTCTCTTGATTCCTTTGCTGCTGGTGCTGGCAGCCATGTGTACCACCCTTCCCTCCCCTGCCCTCTGCCAGGGAATGGCTTATCCAGCCTCCATGGGCCCTGGGCCAGGCCTCCCTCCATCTCCCGTTCCAGCAGGTCCAGCTCTCCTCAGGCTGACTAGGGGCTGGGCCCTGGCAGGCTGGGCTCTCCAGAATTAAGTTAGCTGTGGAGAATCAGGTCCTACAATCACAGATGCATGGCTAAGATCAAGTCTCTTCTTCCCCACTGAATGCTAGATTCATTTCCTTGTCTTTTCACTGTGTTCCTGAGCTTCTGTATGGAAGTGGCAGCCCACTCAAGCCAAGAAAATGAGTGACAATAATAATAAGTGTCATTGTTTGCTAATAACAGCAACAATAGTGACAATAAAGGGTGGCCATTCTGAGGGGCTCATTCTGTGCCAAGTCACGATGGGCAATAACAGCACCCCAGCCAACCCTCTGGGTCACTTTGTGTGTGTTTCTGTCATCGGAGGGTTGCTCTGGATGGCTGCAGTCCATTCTGCCCATCTTTGTTTAGAGAGTGACTGAGACCTTCTGTGTCCTTCTTCTATGCCAGCCAGCAGCCCCATCCTCCAGCTCTGGCTGCACCAACTCTGGATGTGACCCATGCTGGAAGAGGCGCTTCCTTGGAGGAAGATTTGGTCTTTGTCTTAATGCCCACCACTGTCCTACTGACGCCCAGTCACTGTCCTAACTAACTCCATTTTGTCTCACCTGTCCCCCTCTCCTTTTCTCTGAGTCATTTCTCCTCCCAGCTTATCTCAAGTTCCAGGAACAGGAGCCTGGCAGGCTGACAGCTTCATGACAGGAATTGAAATTGCCCCCTCAAGCAGTAACGATGTCCCCAGTGGTACAGGACCTCCAGAACCAGGCCTGAGATAATGGTCACCCCGCCACAGTGTGCCCAAGACAGTTTAACTACACCTGTTTCTTGCCTCCTGCTCTAATCGCTCCCCTTTTTAATCCTGTACTATTGCCAGTACCTGGAGGCCAGGGATAAGGACACCGGTCCCCCTATTCTTTCCAGGAGTGATCACAATGAATAGATTCTTGTTTTACCTCCTATTTCTCCTCTATTTGGGCGAACCATGTCTTCTGGACCCTAACAGTCCTGTGAAGCTTCTGTGGGGTCAGACTGACCTGACATCACCCCCTTACCTTCCTCCCCATTTTATACATGTACCCAATTCTCTTCCAAGTATCCCCTGGGAACCCATACTATATAAAGAATAAAGCATGAGTTCTCTCAGGGATGTCTGGGGAATCTAACCCAAGACTGGTATTCACATGGATCAACTCCCCACGATGACCTCCCACCCTCTTGGGCTCCAGATCTCCAGAGCCAGGTCTGAGCCAAGGGTCTCCTGACTCCTGAGAGGAGTAGGGGTCCCCATTTCACAGAGGAGGAATGGGATTTCCCAGGGGAGTACACTGCTGGGTGTGGGACAGTCTGGTTCAAAGCTGGGCCCTGTGACTCCAGGAAGCGCCTGGGTAGTGGGTACAGCTGGCAGGAAGGACTGGCCACATCAAAGTTCTCCTCCCTGGCTTTCGGGTCAGGGCACATAACGGTGTAGGTGCAGGTGCCCTCGTCAAGACCCCCATTCTTGTTGTTCTCCACAACCAAGCAATTCCCAAGACGCCTGAGTCCTCTAAGTTGAGTGTCATGGTCCTTTGGTGTCTGTGATTCCGGGCCCAGCCAATCATCAGGTGCGATGAGGAGGTGGTCAGACTTAGAGGAGACTGTTGTGGACAAGGGGAGGGCAGACAGGGGACACAGGGTCTGACCCAGGCTGACAGGTAGTAACATACTGAAGGTCTCAGTAGGGGGACATCAGGAGCTGGAGGGGAAGTGGAGAGCATACAGGAAAGAGCCCAGGCCTGGAGGAACCTGCTGGAGGCTTCAGCACTGCCCATGCCAAGTAAAGGTGGCCATGACCTCGGCTACGGCCTCATGAGGCTGAGGACAAGTGAGTGAACTTGAAATGCCCCAAGGGACCCACTCAGCAGCCTGGGGGCCCAGAGGGGGAGGAGGCAGTGTGCTGCTTCATTTCTTTCATGGATGCCCAAACAGTGACTTTGTCTGTCCCGGGCGGATGGATGCTGAGGCAGGAAAGTGCTGAGGCCTCTCAGAGACGTCCAGGAGCACTTTCCAGGAGGCATCCAGAGCTCAGACAGCGAGGAGAAGGCAGTGGCAAAGTGCAAGCACTCGCCAGGCATTTGCTGTGATTGTCTAATAGCCAGTGGCTGGCGCTGAGGCCAGTGAGTCTCTGAGAAGCACATGGAGCAAGACAACAGCGGGGAGGGACCCCGGGACTTAAGGGAGGAGGCAGCAGCAGAGGATGTGAGGGGAGCACACACGGCAAATGCTCCCCGACCCGCTCTGCAGCAGTGGTGTCACCCGGGTGCCTCTTCCATGGATCGCATGTGTGTCTCTGCCTTGGGG